GGATAGTAGTTAGAAGACCTGGGTTCAACCCTGGCTCTGAAGCTGATTAGCTACATGGTCTTTGGCAAGTTAAATGGCTTCTTTGAGCCAAAGTTGGCTTAACTATAAAATAACGACTATCTTCTCAGACTGTCTCATTCTGAGAATAGCTTGAGGTCAAACAAAATCATGTATATGAAATCAATTTAAAAACTATGTGTTGTCTTAAATTATAAGGTGTATTTTATTTATTCATCATTTTTAATTTCTGAACAAAAATAAAATTCTATAAATAAGATATATACATATTTCCCAATGTTAATACATGCCTACAATATATACATATTTCCTCTTTGGGAAATAAACACTTAGAAGAATTTAGATTAAAAAAGTTTAAGGAGTTTTTCTAATACTTTTGTAAAAGCTTAATCCTGTGACAATTCTGAAATACATCAATGCAAATTATGTATCATCCTGTCATTTAAGGGACAAACCACAGGAATATGACTCATCTTTGTCATTAAGTTCATGTTGGAGAATTAAGAGGAAGAGAGAAAGAATACTATAAAACTAAAGAATTATTTCAAATCAACACAGAATCTTGTGATTGATTTAAAATAAGGAAACCTAATGACAGTCACAGTAGAGTCACGTCTCTCATTTTCCTAAAAATAATCAAAAACCAAACAGTATTTAATTCTAAAGTATCTCTACTAACAATTTTGCAGATCAAACCACCAGAATTTTATATTTAGCATGTTTAAGATTATTATATTAGCCCATTGTAAACTCTTAGATTGTCTTTTTAGACCTTCATGTCCCTGAAAGGGAAAAAGTACGGTATTTAAACATTGTTGAATTAAAGTCAAAAAATTATATTATTTAATACTCTTAAATTCAACGAGTTTTTATTAAGTACCTACTATATAAGTGGAAATGCCTGCAGAGCCTACTGGATACAGTGTCACATTTCAATGTATTTAGATTAACTAAGCAAGTATATTTTACATACCATCCTACTTTACAAGAAGCACTCATCTTGGATAGAGTTGCCAAGTAAACCAGCCACAAATAGAACTAATATTCAACTCAAAATAGAACAACTTATTCATAGTTACTAGGATCTAATATCCATCTATTTGTAACTGTTACAACTTTCCAATGCATCATCTTTTAAACCACTGAATAGACAGATTTTAGACAGAAAAGGAGAGTAAGATAAACACATTATTAAAAAAAATACTAAACAACCTTTCCTTCCTTTCTAAGTTAAAAATATTGGAAATATTCCATGAAATTCTTTTATTATTTCACCAAAGTTACAATACATAAGTACCTGATCTATTTTATTATAGATTTCCTCTTGCTTGTCTGAAATTTAAGAGTCATTTCAGAAACTGAGTATTTGTGGATTATATTGTAAAGGGACTGCCTCATTAAAGGACGGATTCTTTTAGAGGATTTATAGTGTAACTAGACTAAACTGATAATTTCAACGTGTTAGGTATTTTTACCTTTTAGAAAACTTGGTGATAGACTACTTTAGAATTTTGGTTACTATTTCTGGTCAAATTTAATATACACCATCCTCCAAACCAAAATATCTCTATTCATTAACTATTGAAAAAATTATTAAAAAATGGCTTGCTTTCGGGTTGTCTCAAATGTTTTGCAAAGGATATATCTAATTACACTAGCATGCTTGTTTGCAAAGATAGCTATTTTGGGTCAACAGTACGATATTTTATTAAAGAACATTGCCCATACTGAATTAATTTTAAAATACCCATTTTACTCTACCTCACATTTTGGATAGATTGCAACAAAGAATGTATACCTTTAATTACACTTTGAAATTTGAATACTTGGGCTATTTATTACACTTATATGTTTTGTCATTAAAATAGGTCATAATTTTATATTATCTGTATTTCTTATAATTTCAGTTTTATATTGAGAAAAGTGTGATTTTCAACAATGTGAATAGTTCAAAAAGGAAAACAATATTTTAATTTACTCTTACACAAATATTGTTGAAAATAAAATAAAACTATAAGCCAAAATTATTCCCACCCCCCCACCCCCCCCAGAATTTGGCATTTATACCAAAAGTGATAAATTTGAGTTAATCAGGTTTAGACTTGTGTAGTATGCAAACTCTATAGACAGAATGTTTAGATTGCTTAAAGTATCTCAAAGTGCTAAGTTAATTTTGAGGCAGAAGAATCAGCATTAAATTATATCTGTCCAATAGATGACCATACTCTATTCTTGGATATGCTTTTTTTGTCTTTGAGTATACATTCCATAGAATAAACATATCCTGTTTAATGTATCTTATTCACAGACAAACTAGATCCTGCAGTTTTACAAGGATTCAGGGCAGGAAAACCACAATTAAAATAAACCTAGCCAGTCACTTATTATATCTTTATATTTCATCCAACATGAAAAATTTAAGAATCCAGTCTGTATCACTGCGAGAAATAAGTTCCATGTTAGTTCTCCAGAATACTATTTTATCCTTTTGTACCCAGAGGCACAGAGCTTGATATATGAGGTTGTCTCATACTTACTGCTTACGTTTCACCTTTAATTAGACTGGAAAATCACGCGTGTATATGCTCTCCGTCAGTCCATTCAACAAACACCAATCACCTGACCTATGCTCTCTGACAATTGATTTTTCCCCAATTCTGCCTAGATTTGCCTTAAGGACACTTGGTATACTCATTTGTCAAAAAAATGTCCTCTTCTTCACTAGAAAATGTTTTTTCCTTATTTATAAATTATGTTTTCAAAGAATATTTTAAACATATACATAAAGTCAATTTATGGAAAAATATTATATTATTAACATCGTGTTACACTTGGATTCAAAATAAGCAGATAAAATTTACTTAGTTTCAATTCTCTCAATCCTAACATATTAAATAAAGAATAGCATATATTTTATACTTTTCTCTACTTTTTCATTCTGTGTGCAGCTTCTTATCAATTTCTCATGTTTACAGGACTTTACCAGAAACACTTTATTTTATACAATATTTTCATTGCATAAATAAAATAATACTAGTTAAAATTATCCTGAATGAGATTAATAAATGATATGGAGGAAGAAAGTATTAGCACTTTATAGTTTATATTACTGGAAGTCATAATACAAACTTTAGAATACTTAAGAACTTAATTTATAAAAGCAAAGCAAAATAAAACTAATATATCTGCCACTTTAAAGAAAGTCAAAATTTAATAATAAAAATTAATATTTAAATAGTAACTCACTGTTGACAAAATACCTTCACATATATTTGGATCATAAATTATTTCTAAACTAATGTTTTTGTTGATAGAGTCTCAGGAGAGACATAAGAAAAATTCACGTACTAAGGAAAATACTTTATATTTAGAACTATTTGAAATGTTGACATCCCTTTCAAAACTTGGAAGACAAAACTAATAACATAAAATTTGTGAAAATGACTATCCGCAAACCCAGTTTTAAATTATATGCATTTCTACTTAAAAATAACTCCCTCCTGTTATGAAATAATATTGATTTTATCACTAAATACAACAAATGATTTTTTAAATTAAGTAGTGCTCATAGGAACTACAGCATTCCTGCAAAAAAGTACAATTGTGGCAGTTTACAAAAATGTCAAATACTTTGAGCTTCTTATGAAACAAAAATCTAAAATAAAGTAACAGTTGGATGTCAAAAATTATGGAAAAGTGATCATGTTATCTGTTCGATGAATTTATGGCAAATAAATATGAATTAAAATATTTAAATTAATGAAACAGGTATCCTGTAAACATTTAAAACTCTTTGTTTTCAATTTCACTTGTTTGTTCAGTACACTTTCTTGTACTGAGAAAGAGGACTTTTAAAATTAAAATATACCAACTTGGTATAATAAAAACACTCTAAATTCAGACTGAACATTTTATTACCCTTGTGTAAAATTTTATATAAAAACTATTCATATATGCATTACATAATCTATAACCATTATCTTAACACATAAATTTAGAGGAGTAGTAAATTAACATGTAAAGCTAAGGAGACATTTGAAACACGTATTTCCTTCCAGAGTAAAAATGCAATATAATGCTATATGGACTGATCATATCTTAGAGAGTTTTAAATTAATACATAGTTGATTGTATTTTTTTACATTAAGTTAGACAGTATTTTGGTGGGGAAGCACTGTACAACTGTTTTATTAAGGCATTCGGTGAGGTCACCCATTTAGTTTCATTGTGTGGGATAATAGATCCAGCTGGATTGGTTTGTGAATTCAGGTGGATGGGAAACTAAAGCGATTTGGCACCAAGGTAAGGATTCACAGAGTTATATCCACAGGATATATGCATTACGTGATAGTAAGAGACATTTACAACCCAGAATATAAGAGCAGGGCAGCCTCAAGTGACATCACCAGATCATCTGCCGCGTCAACCAACCGCCTTGAATATATATCCTCCACCCCACAGCTCGCCTCTCTCATTGTTAGCAAAGCTTCCCTTGCCTTCACCAGTGTAAGACAGCATGTGTCTTCTTTAAAAGCAAGACATATGCTTACTCAAGTGAAAAGCAAATAAGAAAAACCAAAGGAACAGAACAAAAAACTAGATTGAGTAAAATTTTCACTAACTTGACATCCAAGTGACAAGAATAACACTGAAATGTTAAGGGAGAAATTAACTTGAATTGTCCAATCAGAAATGAAAAAAAAAAGGAAGGAAGGAGGGAAGGAAGGAAGGAAAGAATGAAGGAAGGAAGGAAGCAAGAAAGGAAGGAGGGAGGAAAAAAAGAAAAAGAAAGGCAGACGAGCTGAATATCCCTGAGACCAAATCTTGTTTTTAACTCTGATTTGCTCTGGAAGCAGCCAACTGTGGGAATCTTGAATTTCTTTCTAAAAGAAATTAAATAATAATAATAATAAAGAGGAAGGAGACTCTATTGTCTCATTTTAATTCTCTTCTAATTTATCCACAACTTATGTTTTACTTACAAGCATTTGTTACAGCAAAACTGTTGGCTGTCTCAATGTTGTCCACATGAGGTACCAAATTAAAAGGAGCTTCCGACGCATTGGGGCTGGTGTTATGAAGAAAAATTGCCAATCGAAAAGCAGTGTATTCCTGATCTGTGTTTCGGATGAAGAGACCACCTATTAAAAACAGCAGGAAAAGCACATTCAGGGTTTCCTCTTGTAAATGTTATACCCACCCCAAGCGCTGTCAAATCCACTGCCATTCACCAGCACATACAATTAAGAAGCTATCCCTGCCACATCTTGGGAGACTGCCCTTTGTCCCTAAGGTGCATGCTTAGTATTTCAGTCTTCAGGACAGCTCAGCTTTTTCCTGTCCCAATTCGTCACGATCACAATGACCTCTGAGACCATTTAGTGTGTTTTCCTTTCTCTCTCTTGCCCTCCCCATGATTCCCAGCATACTGCTACATCAGCCAGCTTGGGGGCATTTCTCTCTAAGATGCAGCAGATGAACAGAAAAGAGGATTTGCGTTAAAATACAGACACGCAGGGATGTGGTAACACGCAGGGAAGAGGGAAATCGGAAAGGAGAAACGAACTTTGATTTTCTGCAGCTCGTGGACTCAGTCTAATTAGCTCCGTTGTGTGCACAGTCCACGAGAAATGATGCAGTGTTGAGGCTGGGCTTAGCTGGAAGAAATTCAATAGCTGCGTCCCATTAAAAGAGAGGAGAGGAGAACAGCAAGAAAAGGCAAGGATGGATAGGGTCCCTGGAAATAGAGTAGAGACAGAGGAATAAAGGCAAAAGATTCAAGAGGAAAACAAAACAAAAGGAGAGAAGGTTCCAGGAAACGGAGCTAACTTTGTAATCGGTTAACGGGTAGCTAGCAAAGGCAGGGGGGTGCGAGTGCAAACGCTTTTTTGCCCAAAGCGTCTTTCTGTAATAGCGAGCAAGCTGCGGCGTCCAGCAAGGGAAGAAGTGTATTTTTTTTTTTTAAAACAAACTCGACATCCCTTCATGCTCTAGAGAAAGGGATGAAAAGAAATATCACGTAAAATGTAATCAAACCCCACGGAGGTTTTTTCCAACTTATTCCAATCCTACTTAAGAGACTTGAGCCAAAGGTAGAAACGGGAGTATGGGCTGAGGACGGATGGGTGGCCAGTTCTGTGTATATTCCAACTGAACCTGCACCAAAGAGGCATTCTTTTTGTAAAGGGGAGAAAGGAAGAAAGAAGCAGAGGGGAAGGGAGCCGCCGAAGGTTCCCCTGAATTGCTTATGAGCAACTCATTTAACTCACTTTCGGCTATCTGCTACAGCCACCCACACGCACACCCCACCCGAGCAAACCTTACCTATTTGCACGCTGCTCGGAAAGGCTCCCATGGCGAGTCCCCAAAATCCAGAAAATAACAAGACAATCTGTCTGCAAATAATCCTCATCTTCTTTTCTCCTCTCCCTGGCGCGCGCTCTCTCTTTCTCTCACACTCTTCCTAAAGGCTGTTCAGAGAGGCATTGAAGACGATGGCGCTAAAATTAAAAACAATCAAAAAAAAAAAAAAAAAGAAAAAAGGAGAGAGGTTTGGGTGGTTTATGATTATCACTGTCTCCTTTTAGCAATCCATCGCGAGCTGCCAGATTTTTCCCGCAGTCTCCATAGCCCTGGGAGAGGCTTTCTGTCCGGCTGCAAATGTTGCACATGCAAAAGATGGTGGTGGAGCGTCTAGTGGCTGCTGGCAGGGATGAGACATGCGCTCTGTCTTTGCCTCACTTGCTCTCGCGCTCGCCCCTCGCTTTCTCACATACACACAAACACTGGCGCCGCGGCCACCGCACGCGCTCCCCAGCTCGCACCCGCTGACATCCCCCCCAAGCCTGCGCCAGCTCGGAGCATCGCTGCCGTCCTCGCGTTCCCTCTCCGAGCGTGCAGCACTCGCTGCGCACACCCCTCGCCCACCGCTCGGCAATCTTCACCTCTAGGGCGCTCACCGGAGCGCCCCAGTCTCTCCGACGCTCCCGAGCCAGTCTGGAGACAGGTTTTTTCCTTCTTCTCACCACTCACTGACTCCTTCCTCTATTCTTCCCCGTTCGCAGACGGACCTACTCTGGGGATGGGCACCCCCAGCGCCCCTCTCTTTGCTTTCCAGGCGCCTCTGCTTCTCCGCGGCACTTGGCAGGAAATTGGCCCGCGGGCCAGGTCTGCAAGCGCGGATCAGGGGCTCCGGGAGTTAGTACCTCCCAGGCCCCCGGCCCCCTGCCGCATTCTTGCAGGCTCGCGGGGAGGATCGGCTGCCTCCCTCCCCTCCAGCCCTCGCCTTCCCTCTCAGCCTCGCCCTCTTCTGCCACTGGGCTGCGCGCCGGGGACTTCGGTCCTCGCTGCAGCAAAGATTTCTCACCAGCAAACAGCCTGGGAATGTGGAGAGCCTGAGACGGGAATGGATGAGGTGAAGGGGCTCAGGGAGGGAGAGGAAGAGAAAAAGGGGCAACAGGCAGCTCCGGGCAGGTCTAAGAGGCTGGAGGAGGAAAGAATGGGAAGGGGTAAGGCTGGGGAAGAGACCCAGGGAAGTTGAAACATCCTAGGAAAGAGAGGAGGGAAGAAAAGATTAATTTAAATAACAAAGTTTAGGGTCATGAAGAGGATGGGGAAGAGACTGAGAAATGAAAACCGAATGGGGCCTCTAATATGTTCTTTGAAAGGCATGAAGCAGAATTAGGAATAAGAACTGTGTGAAGTATAAAGTGGTAAAAGTAATTAAAGACAACTTTCTGTACAGTGGCCTGTTCAGGAGGACGCTTTTTCTCTATGCTGTGGCCCACGTCAGTAGTAGATCCGGCACATTCAGGGGCTGATGGAAGAGGATGGGAAGGACAGTGGTTGGGGCAGCGGACAAGTGTCTAATAGAAAAATGGGGTATTTTTCATGCACATCTGTTCTTAGCTGAGGTCTGGAATACTCACTTTATTCCATGTCACTCCAGGAAGACTTAAGCACTGCATCGATAATGTCAGTAGTTGTTTTGACCCGGTAGAAGAAAATGAATTATCCTAGAAAGTTTTAGAGCTGTGGTATCACTTCTTTGCCAGGGTCACCTTTAAGATTCCCTTTCACCTGGCTGTGATGGACAGAGTCTGTACCACACCCGGAGAGTGACTGTGGTAGTAGTAAATGACAGGTTTCTGATTCTTCTGTATGGCTTGAGGTCTTCTAATCTAGACAGTAGATACAATTCCATTAAACTGCAAGAAAGTGTGTTAAATCTTCATAGTTTTTTGGGTGCCATTGGTTGGATTGTATCATTTTAGAGCCTGGAAAGTTGGGTCGCATCAGGTCGAGCCAAGTTTCCAAGGAATCATTGGAGGGAGAGATTCTCCTTCAAGATTAAGGAACCTAAAGTAGTGTCTCCTATTACATTTTGCAAAAGACTACAGCAGTGTCTACGTTTATCTGATGTAATATTTGGGAAAAGAGGAGAATGGATTGATTAATGTGGAATTCTTACAAGAGGCCCCGGTGGTAAAGACTTATTTTGATATATGTATGACCCTTACTCCTTTAAGTCCCCTTTTGTTACATATCACCAATTACCTGTATTTGTAGTTTGTAGATGACATTTAATAATCTCTGCTCAAACTCGAGTGCTTCTCTGCAGAGTGCTTTTTTAAGTTCTGAATTTTGCTTTTAAAGTCACATCTCTTTTTTTATTTATCTACTTTCCTGTTACATTTCACCCCAGATTGTTATGACAAAAAACAACCTAATTGTGAATAATTGGATTACACAAATCATACATTTGTCATTTCAGTTTATAAGGCTTTAGTCTTGCAAGTCAAGTGGGATTTGAAATGTTTTCCTTTTTGTCTTTTCTGTCAGTGTAAAAACCAAGGCTGTAAATGATATCATTCTGTTTCTCTTAAAAGAAGGTAATAAAATAGGCCACATAAAATTCAAATTGCATATAAGTTATATTAAAATTTCAAAACCCACCAAATCATTAAACTCATCACCTAGTTGGGCAACGAGTGAAGCTCTGGCTGGTGCACAGAGGCAATTATTAACTTCTATTCTTCTCAAAATTGAAAGATTTGAGCTTTCATATGATGTAATGCCACCATCAATATAGATGCAGGACAAGTTTTGTTTTTCATCTACCCATCATGATGACACCTTGGCTACTATGACCACAGATGACATGACTGTATTTTTCCAAGATGGTAATCTGGTTTTTTGAATTTATATTTTTCCAGTTAATGAAAATATTCATTTACTTTATGAATTTAAATTATCTTTCTCTGTATGATATCTCTATCTCTACCTCTGTATCTGTAGATATATAGTCTTATATCATACATGTCTTTAAGATGCATCAAAAGGGAAAGAGTTTTGGAGTTGGTTAGGAAGAACGACAAGTGGAGGCTGGGGCAGATGGTGTGCATTCATAAATAACAGAAATAATCATAAGCAATGCAAAGACGAAACAGTGAAGAATCAAAATGTGGCTGAAAATGGTAGAGCCAATGCCTGTGCTTTTAATCCTGAGTGTCTGGTCCTCTGAAGCATTTTATAAATACGACTGTGATATACCTCCTATTATCCCAAGTGTGAATTTACATACAGAAAACAATTATTTGAGCCTCTCTTTGGAGCATTTGTAAAGGCAGAGGTAAAATATCCTGCCACATCAGTATAAAAAATTCCAAAGATTGTTACTAGCTGAGAAAACCACAGATATATGTTTGATTTTATTGGTTTTGTATTATTCTAAGTGAATATTTTCACAATTTTACAAATGAACTTTACTAATATATTAAATAACGGCATCACACCAGAAGATTTCTAACATGCTTTCAATTCCCGAAATATCTGATCCTGTGAAGTCAATTCAGCCAGCATTTGGGCAGTTCTGCTATGAGAAAGGCCTTGATGCTGTGGGAAATCCACAGATGAACATGCCACCACCTGTACGCGAAACACTTGCCTAGTGTGGCAGAATGTGATCACACAGCATCAATGAATTGCTGTCAAGGAGCAGAGGAGAAACAGCACATGCAGCATATCAGGGAAGGCTTTGTGGAGATTTTTCAATGAGAAGAGATATTTATAGATAGATAGATATAGCTTTCTAGGTAGAAAACAGAAAGTCAGGTTGGACCATTAATGGAGCATGTTGAATGAAGTGCTTGGGATATTAAACCTTATTTGTCAGGGAGATGTTTGAGATATATATTTGACAGAGTAATAGTATAATCAGGTCTGACACTTTTAGAAAGGGAACATTTTTGGTAGTCGAGGTCAGGGGTTGTTTGGTGATGTAGACCAGGAAAGGCAGGAGCCAAGACTAGTTTACAGACCGCTGTTTCAGAAAATCAGGTGAGATGGGACTGGACTGGAGTAGGACAGTAGAAGAGAGACAGGATGAGAGAGATAAGAGAGTTGTTGCTGAGGCAAAACTGACAGGGTACACTCACCCCTTGGTTGGGGGTCATGGGGAATGTGGCGCATATTTAGGGTCAAAAATATCTCCAAGTTGGAAACCTGGCTATTCTAAAAAGAAGCTTCAGTAATCAGAGGTTGGCAATATCTTTAAACAGGAAAAGGAACTTAGGAGGCAGAGCAAGTTTGCTAGGGAGCAGGCTTTTCATCAAATTATTCGTCTACAAATGGTTTCACATTGAGCACCTGCCAGGTGTGTTCACTGTCTAAGTGCTTGAGATATAAAGGAGAACAAAGCAATATTCCTGCTATCATTGGAAGATTCCTGATGTTTATGAATCCTCACTAATGTGCCAGGAAGGGTGCTAAGGCCTTACATATATCACTTGACCTACAGAAAACTTTAGGTATTATTATACTGATTAGGAAACTCATGTAAAGGTTAAAATTCTTGCTCAAAGTTATATTCTTAGTAAATGTTAAAGCCAAGAGGTAGGGATAAAACTCAGGTCTGTCTGATTTCAGAGACCATGCTGTCTTCATTAAAACCTGCTGAGTTAGTGAACTTAAGGTGCATTGAGGCATCTTGAAGCTGAAAAGTGGACTGGAAGAATCCACAACATTTAGAAAAGTAGTGTGGTCTACCTAAGGGACCTCGGCCTCGTAACGTTTCTGTTCTGATAGAATATATGTAAACTTTCCGCACAGTTCTGGAACATCACAGGTGATTCTTATTAATAAAGACTTGCCAAAAAAATGTGATCAAGTTTCCAATAGAGGGAGGCACAGAGTGCCATGTGATCAAAATAGGAATTCTAATTCTGATGTTGAGGGAATTTGGGAAGAACTCACAGAGAAAGAACGTGAACTGAATTTTTACAGATGTGTAGAATTATAGGGTAGCGAAAAAACAATGTGCAAGACATGAGAGGGCATATGCCTTTCTGAAAACTGCTAAGAGTTTGGTATAACTACATTCAGATTGTATTGGAGAAAGTGCTAGAAGTGAGGCTGGAAAACAAAGCAAGGGATGGTTATGAACTGTCTCATTTTACAGTTTCATCTCCACCTCATAGAGACAGAGAAATTGTGAAAGGTTGTAAGCAAAGGAGCAAAATTATCAGATTTGCATTTTGGATCCAAAATCTTGACATAAGTGTGGGAAAGACTATACAACGGGGCTGGAGGCAGGGAGAGAAATTTGGAAGCTGAAGAAATAGCCTAGGTGAAAAATCACTGTGTGATCAAAACTAATAACAGTAAAATTTGTCATTTGACCCTGAAATCATACTGTTAAGTTTCTATGCCAAATATATACTAGCAGAATTATTAAAGTTGCATGCACAAAGCTATTTATTACAGTACTATTTATTATAGCAAAAACACAAAACAATCCAAATGTCCATCGAGAAGAAGGTATTTTACTAAACTATAGTATATCCATGCAGTGGGGCGCTATATAGTTATTCAAGGAAAAAGTAGTGCTTTTATATATCACTGCAGAGTGATCTCAATGATATATTCTGTGAGAAAAAGCAAGGTAGAGACAAGTATGTGGCACACTAGAATTTATCTAAAAGGAGGAATATTTCCTTTAGGGACAGAAAATCAGGGTGGAGAGAAAGAAACAAATAAACCTTCCATAGCTACTCAGAGTTGTATTATTTCAATTTATTTTAAAACATAATTCTGGCTTATCCTCTAAAGGGATATCTCCTAAGACAAAAATAATTGCAAGAACTAACTTACACTGCCCTCACTGATTGCACTGTTGATACAAGTATTGATATTGCTATTCTGAGACTGGTGTGTATATATTGTTGCATAAAGGAAATGAATTATTATGCTGGCGTTGCTGTCAAAAGCATGGGAGAAAGTTGATGTAGGTTTAAGATCAAAGAGGATAAGTAAAAAAT